TAATAACTAACATTTATTGAGCTCTTTCTGTGTGTCAGGGACTTCTAAGGATTTGATGTAAATTTCCAACTTAATAAAACCATAAAGCTCTAAGGTAGATGCTACTATTGTCCCCCTTTTAGAGATGAGAAGACTAAAGCTTAGAGTTGCCCAAGTGAATTAATGAGGTTTAAATGTAGATGTGCTGATTCCAGAACCTCTACTCTTAACCACTGTGATACACTGCTGTATGGTTTATTAGTGGTAATGCTTTTTTTTCTGTTTTATTTACCCAAAAGGAAAAACTACTATTAAAAACAAAAACTGAATGTAGCTTTTCTGACTTCAGGAGTGTCGCATAATTTATTGCTAGAGAGCTTGTTGTTTTGTTGAAGTAAATATCTTGATGGACCTTTTTGGTTGAGAAAGGTCAACTCTCTGGGTTTAGCCTAAGTGGGCCAGGAGGATACAAAGAGAGATCAGTTACTCCAAATAATAAGATGAAAGAAATCTGAATTTTCATTGGATGCCCTAGAAAAAGAGAATGAGGCCTAGGAAAGAAAGTAGAGGGAGGTTGGTAAAAAGAACTGAGATGGGATACATGCCAGAAACACGGCAGGAGGCAGGGGCCTACTGGAGGACATGGCTGGTGAGAAGTGGCTGTCCTGAGAGAATGGCTGTCACATTGCTATAAGCAGTCATGTGTGCACTGAATTTGAAGTTGTTTTCCGCTTTGTGCCATAGCCTTCCATTAACTCTAAATCTTTCATGCAATTTGGATACATCTGATTATCTTGGTGGTGGATCATTTGGAGGAATGAAGGATGAGGAGTGGCACATCATGGGCAAGAAGGCAATAGCTAAAGGAACAGGAGACAGTACAAGCAGACTGCATCGTGGTCTAACCCAGGAGACACAGAAGCAACCTTGGAAACTCTTGCAGAAATTGAGTCTCAGGACTGACCATAGTGGTTGGAAATGGGACTCGGGCCATTTTTGTACTGAAAGAATAACCCTAAACACTAAATTGTTTGGAGTTGTCCAGGTTAGAAACTTCTGGGTTATATTCAAGTGGAAAAGAAATTTTGTTGAGCCACAGTAAAAGAAATTTGGTTTATTAGCAGCATTTGTCAGTCTCCTCCTTGCCGTATGGTAATTACCTTCCAGAACACCAGACTCTTCTGGGTTTCCTTGTGCTTTATCAGGCACTCATCAGTTTCCTTTGCTAGTTCCTCCTTTTCTTCCTGATCTCTTGATCACAGTGTGCCACAGGGCTCAGTCATCCATACTTTCCTCTATCAACGGACACTCAGTCCTTGGTGATCTCATCCAGCCTCTTGCTACTACATACCGTCCATATGTTGACAGTTCCCAGATTTGTATTTCCTAGACTTCTCTCCTGAACTCCAGACACATATATCTATTGCCCACTTGACATCCCCACTTATATGTCTAAAACTCATCTCAGACTTTACATGTTCAATGGTACATTTCTGGTCTTCCTCCCAAAAAATACACCACTCATGGCTTTCTTCATCTCAGTTGATGGCAGCTCTGTCCATCCTCTCAAGCCATAAAACATGAGTCATCCTTTATGACTCTTTTTCTGTTATCCTCCATCTCTAATTTGACAGGAAATTCTGTTGTTTTTACCATCAGAATATATCCAGAATCTGCCCATTTCCACCATCTCTGCTTCTACCACCTGAGTCAGAGCCTCTGTCATCTCTCAACACAATCACCCCAAAGTCTCCTAACTGACCTCCCTGCTTCCACCTTTCCCTGCCTCACAGCCAACAAAGATCCTTTTAAAGCCTATGTAATTAAAGCGTATTATTCACTCCTTTGTCTCTCGTTTCATTCAGAGTAAAAGCCAAAGTTCTTACGGTGGTCTTATCTGATCTTCACTGATTCCTGCTTTAGACAAAGATACATCTTGGTAAATCATAGTTCTTCATTGCAGGCCAGGCTGTATCCATCCACTCTACCAACTGCCAAAAACAAAATGTTAAAAAGGTGAATGCAAGCCTAGCAAAATTACAGATCAGTAGCTTTTCTGCCTGTGGACAGATTGGACATTCCTTATTCAAAGCAGTGGTTGAGTAAGATGTGACTTGGGGGTGAGCAGGTAGAGAGAGAAATCCTGATATCAGCCACTTTCTTGCTAATGAGCACATTATCTGTAGTTTTGGTGTATCCTCTAGAGGTTTCTAATATGCAGAATGATCTACTTCTGAGCCTCTTTAGGCCATTAAGTTTAGGCCATTAAGTTCTTTGGCATTGATGACGAATTTCCTGTGGCAAGGAAATCATTTTTACTTTTGTCAGCTATTCTAAAAGTCAGTAGATTGATGCAGTTGGTTCTGAAAATACCTGCCAACATTCTGAGGTCCAAGCCCTTACCTCCTGCCTTCTAGACTAATGATTCTCAATCATGGGCCACTGTGTCCCCCAGGGGACATTTGGCAATGTCTGGAGATGTTTTTGGTTGTCACAGGGTGACAGGTGGGAGGTGCTACTGGCATCAGGTGGGCCAAGGATGTGGCCGAGCACCCACCAATGCACAGGACAAACCCCCCATAACAAAGGATTACGCAGCCCAAAATGGCAGTAGTGCTGAGGTTGAGAAACCGCCATCTAGACTATTCTGGCGGACTTTTAATCTACCTTGTGCCCCATTGCCAAACCAGCATTCCTAAACCGTCACATTTATCCATCACTCCTAAGTTCCAGTAGCCCCCATAGCTCTTCATTGCCTGAAAGATCAAGTCTCTCCTTCTCATCCTGGCGTTTAGATCCTGAGGTGTTTTGCACACTTAATGTATCCATTCCCTAGCAGGAACTCTGCTTCTCCTAAGCTTTCATTGGCACCATCCTTCACACTACCATCCTTTTACTGACGTTAACCCCCCAAACACACAACCGGTGAGGACCCTCCCCACAGCTCTCCTCTGATCCAACTCTTACCCTCTGAAGTCCACACGTGTGGCACACCCCTTGCCACTGAGTCAGTCTATGCCACCCCCTTCTGTACATATCAGGGCTCACATGTCTACACCGTTATACAGCTATTCCCTCTATTTTGTCTCCTCAATAAACTCTTTGAAGGGGTCCATATTGTATTTCTGGCCTATCGATCTCAGTTTCCACAGCGTAAGGTGTGAAAACCATATTGTTGTATTGAGAGTTCCTTGTTGTGAGAGTCAAATGAGCATAAAAAGTACCTTGCATAGGGCCTGGTACCCAGTTTATTGCTCAGAAAATTACAGAATCATAGTATCTATAGAAGCATACATTCAGGAGTCCATAGCAAGTGCTTAATAAATCTTTTAAATGTAATTACAGACTGGAGAGAGCATGCATTCAGACCAGCCTGGTATTTGGAACTAACAGCAAAGAAAAACTTCCATCAGAAATCCTACACCAATTAACACTCCTTCATGCTAGAGTGAATCCAGGAGCAGTGGGTGTCACATTTTCCCAAAGTGGAGCCTAAGCCAACCTTTCTGCATTTAACAAGTTAATGAACAGCTTGTGAGTAACACTTTGCCCACTCTGGCCCAATTTAGAAGGCTGCCAAAAGGATAAGATGTCAATATGCCACTCTCTGCTTTGCCACGGTGCCAGCTGCATCCTGCCTAAGTGCTTCTGCCCTCAGCCACTGGAGAGCATGATGTCCTTAGAGAAGGCAGCACCAGTAGGATGAGGCTGCAGCGCGGGCCTGGCCTTTCCCCAAGCGGAAGAGAGCCTTGTCTCGGATCCTGTGAGAGAAGTGAGTGGGGCATGGTATTCTGAGCAGCCCAGGTTTGGCTTTGGGCCAGGCACTGAGTGGCAAACAAGAAGGAACACATTCCGGGAAGGCAAGGAGCCCTGCCAACGCGAAGGAGGACCAGCCAGCAGGGCCTGCTGGGCGCCAGGTGCTTCTTGGCTCTGTGGAGGTCAGGCACACAGAGGATAAACTCGGGTTTCTCTGGATTATCGTTTCAGAGGCTTAAACACCTCCCTCCCCCTCACTTTCATGGGCAAAGCGTATGTAGCCATGTAACCGTTAAATTTGAATCCTCTCTGCTCTGGGGTCCAGCCCCTTATCTCTAAATGAAGGTAGGAGGAGAAAGAGTGAGATCACACCTTGCAGAATCCAGGTTTCTGCAATTCTGTGCCCTGGGTAAGAGAAGATGCTACTGACAACAAGGGCAGAGCCGGGGAAAGCCTGGGGTTTCTGTGCCCCTGTTGGAAGCTGAGCTCCTCACTCACCCCCAGAGCCCACACCACACACACACCACACCACACACACCACACACACCACACACACACACCACACACCCCACACACACACCACACACACCACGCACGCACCACACACACACACCCCACACCACACACACCCCACACCACACACATACCCCACACACACACCACACACACCACGCACGCACCACACACACACACCCCTGAGCCATGGCCACTGAGCCTGCGTGTCCGGAGCCTGTGCTCCGCAATGGGAGAGGCCACAACAGTGAGAGGCCCGCGTACCGCAAAAAAAAAAAAAAAAAAAAAATCTATGTTTAATTCTGTGTAGCCATACCAACACTGGGTTTTATACTTATTTAAGTTTAAATTTTCTTGAAGTTTAATAGATAATAACTAACATTTATTGAGCTCTTTCTGTGTGTCAGGGACTTCTAAGGATTTGATGTAAATTTCCAACTTAATAAAACCATAAAGCTCTAAGGTAGATGCTACTATTGTCCCCCTTTTAGAGATGAGAAGACTAAAGCTTAGAGTTGCCGAAGTGAATTAATGAGGTTTAAATGTAGATGTGCTGATTCCAGAACCTCTACTCTTAACCACTGTGATACACTGCTGTATGGTTTATTAGTGGTAATGCTTTTTTTTCTGTTTTATTTACCCAAAAGGAAAAACTACTATTAAAAACAAAAACTGAATGTAGCTTTTCTGACTTCAGGAGTGTCGCATAATTTATTGCTAGAGAGCTTGTTGTTTTGTTGAAGTAAATATCTTGATGGACCTTTTTGGTTGAGAAAGGTCAACTCTCTGGGTTTAGCCTAAGTGGGCCAGGAGGATACAAAGAGAGATCAGTTACTCCAAATAATAAGATGAAAGAAATCTGAATTTTCATTGGATGCCCTAGAAAAAGAGAATGAGGCCTAGGAAAGAAAGTAGAGGGAGGTTGGTAAAAAGAACTGAGATGGGATACATGCCAGAAACACGGCAGGAGGCAGGGGCCTACTGGAGGACATGGCTGGTGAGAAGTGGCTGTCCTGAGAGAATGGCTGTCACATTGCTATAAGCAGTCATGTGTGCACTGAATTTGAAGTTGTTTTCCGCTTTGTGCCATAGCCTTCCATTAACTCTAAATCTTTCATGCAATTTGGATACATCTGATTATCTTGGTGGTGGATCATTTGGAGGAATGAAGGATGAGGAGTGGCACATCATGGGCAAGAAGGCAATAGCTAAAGGAACAGGAGACAGTACAAGCAGACTGCATCGTGGTCTAACCCAGGAGACACAGAAGCAACCTTGGAAACTCTTGCAGAAATTGAGTCTCAGGACTGACCATAGTGGTTGGAAATGGGACTCGGGCCATTTTTGTACTGAAAGAATAACCCTAAACACTAAATTGTTTGGAGTTGTCCAGGTTAGAAACTTCTGGGTTATATTCAAGTGGAAAAGAAATTTTGTTGAGCCACAGTAAAAGAAATTTGGTTTATTAGCAGCATTTGTCAGTCTCCTCCTTGCCGTATGGTAATTACCTTCCAGAACAGCAGACTCTTCTGGGTTTCCTTGTGCTTTATCAGGCACTTATCAGTTTCCTTTGCTAGTTCCTCCTTTTCTTCCTGATCTCTTGATCACAGTGTGCCACAGGGCTCAGTCATCCATACTTTCCTCTATCAACGGACACTCAGTCCTTGGTGATCTCATCCAGCCTCTTGCTACTACATACCGTCCATATGTTGACAGTTCCCAGATTTGTATTTCCTAGACTTCTCTCCTGAACTCCAGACACATATATCTATTGCCCACTTGACATCCCCACTTATATGTCTAAAACTCATCTCAGACTTTACATGTTCAATGGTACATTTCTGGTCTTCCTCCCAAAAAATACACCACTCATGGCTTTCTTCATCTCAGTTGATGGCAGCTCTGTCCATCCTCTCAAGCCATAAAACATGAGTCATCCTTTATGACTCTTTTTCTGTTATCCTCCATCTCTAATTTGACAGGAAATTCTGTTGTTTTTACCATCAGAATATATCCAGAATCTGCCCATTTCCACCATCTCTGCTTCTACCACCTGAGTCAGAGCCTCTGTCATCTCTCAACACAATCACCCCAAAGTCTCCTAACTGACCTCCCTGCTTCCACCTTTCCCTGCCTCACAGCCAACAAAGATCCTTTTAAAGCCTATGTAATTAAAGCGTATTATTCACTCCTTTGTCTCTCGTTTCATTCAGAGTAAAAGCCAAAGTTCTTACGGTGGTCTTATCTGATCTTCACTGATTCCTGCTTTAGACAAAGATACATCTTGGTAAATCATAGTTCTTCATTGCAGGCCAGGCTGTATCCATCCACTCTACCAACTGCCAAAAACAAAATGTTAAAAAGGTGAATGCAAGCCTAGCAAAATTACAGATCAGTAGCTTTTCTGCCTGTGGACAGATTGGACATTCCTTATTCAAAGCAGTGGTTGAGTAAGATGTGACTTGGGGGTGAGCAGGTAGAGAGAGAAATCCTGATATCAGCCACTTTCTTGCTAATGAGCACATTATCTGTAGTTTTGGTGTATCCTCTAGAGGTTTCTAATATGCAGAATGATCTACTTCTGAGCCTCTTTAGGCCATTAAGTTTAGGCCATTAAGTTCTTTGGCATTGATGACGAATTTCCTGTGGCAAGGAAATCATTTTTACTTTTGTCAGCTATTCTAAAAGTCAGTAGATTGATGCAGTTGGTTCTGAAAATACCTGCCAACATTCTGAGGTCCAAGCCCTTACCTCCTGCCTTCTAGACTAATGATTCTCAATCATGGGCCACTGTGTCCCCCAGGGGACATTTGGCAATGTCTGGAGATGTTTTTGGTTGTCACAGGGTGACAGGTGGGAGGTGCTACTGGCATCAGGTGGGCCAAGGATGTGGCCGAGCACCCACCAATGCACAGGACAAACCCCCCATAACAAAGGATTACGCAGCCCAAAATGGCAGTAGTGCTGAGGTTGAGAAACCGCCATCTAGACTATTCTGGCGGACTTTTAATCTACCTTGTGCCCCATTGCCAAACCAGCATTCCTAAACCGTCACATTTATCCATCACTCCTAAGTTCCAGTAGCCCCCATAGCTCTTCATTGCCTGAAAGATCAAGTCTCTCCTTCTCATCCTGGCGTTTAGATCCTGAGGTGTTTTGCACACTTAATGTATCCATTCCCTAGCAGGAACTCTGCTTCTCCTAAGCTTTCATTGGCACCATCCTTCACACTACCATCCTTTTACTGACGTTAACCCCCCAAACACACAACCGGTGAGGACCCTCCCCACAGCTCTCCTCTGATCCAACTCTTACCCTCTGAAGTCCACACGTGTGGCACACCCCTTGCCACTGAGTCAGTCTATGCCACCCCCTTCTGTACATATCAGGGCTCACATGTCTACACCGTTATACAGCTATTCCCTCTATTTTGTCTCCTCAATAAACTCTTTGAAGGGGTCCATATTGTATTTCTGGCCTATCGATCTCAGTTTCCACAGCGTAAGGTGTGAAAACCATATTGTTGTATTGAGAGTTCCTTGTTGTGAGAGTCAAATGAGCATAAAAAGTACCTTGCATAGGGCCTGGTACCCAGTTTATTGCTCAGAAAATTACAGAATCATAGTATCTATAGAAGCATACATTCAGGAGTCCATAGCAAGTGCTTAATAAATCTTTTAAATGTAATTACAGACTGGAGAGAGCATGCATTCAGACCAGCCTGGTATTTGGAACTAACAGCAAAGAAAAACTTCCATCAGAAATCCTACACCAATTAACACTCCTTCATGCTAGAGTGAATCCAGGAGCAGTGGGTGTCACATTTTCCCAAAGTGGAGCCTAAGCCAACCTTTCTGCATTTAACAAGTTAATGAACAGCTTGTGAGTAACACTTTGCCCACTCTGGCCCAATTTAGAAGGCTGCCAAAAGGATAAGATGTCAATATGCCACTCTCTGCTTTGCCACGGTGCCAGCTGCATCCTGCCTAAGTGCTTCTGCCCTCAGCCACTGGAGAGCATGATGTCCTTAGAGAAGGCAGCACCAGTAGGATGAGGCTGCAGCGCGGGCCTGGCCTTTCCCCAAGCGGAAGAGAGCCTTGTCTCGGATCCTGTGAGAGAAGTGAGTGGGGCATGGTATTCTGAGCAGCCCAGGTTTGGCTTTGGGCCAGGCACTGAGTGGCAAACAAGAAGGAACACATTCCGGGAAGGCAAGGAGCCCTGCCAACGCGAAGGAGGACCAGCCAGCAGGGCCTGCTGGGCGCCAGGTGCTTCTTGGCTCTGTGGAGGTCAGGCACACAGAGGATAAACTCGGGTTTCTCTGGATTATCGTTTCAGAGGCTTAAACACCTCCCTCCCCCTCACTTTCATGGGCAAAGCGTATGTAGCCATGTAACCGTTAAATTTGAATCCTCTCTGCTCTGGGGTCCAGCCCCTTATCTCTAAATGAAGGTAGGAGGAGAAAGAGTGAGATCACACCTTGCAGAATCCAGGTTTCTGCAATTCTGTGCCCTGGGTAAGAGAAGATGCTACTGACAACAAGGGCAGAGCCGGGGAAAGCCTGGGGTTTCTGTGCCCCTGTTGGAAGCTGAGCTCCTCACTCACCCCCAGAGCCCACACCACACACACACCACACCACACACACCACACACACCACACACACACACCACACACCCCACACACACACCACACACACCACGCACGCACCACACACACACACCCCACACCACACACACCCCACACCACACACATACCCCACACACACACCACACACACCACGCACGCACCACACACACACACCCCCCACACCACACACACACCACACTTGTTCTTCACACCAGCCACTTCTGCCTTCTGACTGACCAGACCTCAGGAGATCTGCAGAGTCCTTGGGAATGCTTTCCTCTCATAATCACCTCAGGCCTTTCCCCTGGGGTATGATAGAAGAGGGGAGAGGAGAGAAAGAACCAAAGGGCACCGGGGAGAAATGGCCTTGGGAGCCTGCCCAGCTTCCCTTCTGCCACTGCCAGGGCCTGGGGACAGCGGGGCGGGGCGGGGGGGGGGGTGCTTTCTTTGAGCAAGAAGAGAGAAGTCTGTCTCTCACTGCCTTGGCTCCAGTTCCTGCTGGACTTTGCTGCCACCTAGTGGCCCAGTGGCATCTCACCTCCACACCCCCCACCCCCCACACCCCCCAGAGTGAGATCTGCCTAGGGGTCTGGCCTGTCCCAGCCTGAGGCTGACAGGAGAGCCTTCTCTGAAAAGCTTCTCTGCCCTAGGATGCCCTGATTCTGCAGTGCAGCTGCTAGGAGAGAGGAGCAGCACAGGGTCACCACCTCACCTAGCTCGATAGGTGTCCTAACGGCATGGCCACCAGGTGAGAGGGCCAGGGCTGGCTGGGTGGGCGCCTGGGAGTGGGGGCAGGTCCTTACTCCCAGGATGTCTCTGGTAGGATGCAGTTCTCCCAGAGCCCCCCTCACTCCTGAATGCCTTTTTCACGAGAACTTCTGCCCACTCTCACGACTCTTCCTCATCTGGCTAAAGCCCATGTTGCAAACTGAGGCTCCCACATAAAATATATATACCTCCGTTTCTCCCAGTTTAGGGCTGTTGTTTCTCCCTTATAAAGTTAGCTGAACTTAAAAAATATGATATGCCCTCACTGTGATGCTGCTGCTATGAACCACTCCCTGGGAATAGTGAAAAGGAGGTGTGTGATAGTATGTAGAAATTCAGCCATATTTTTCTTCATATTACATCCACGTGTTTATTTTCTCTAGCAAAAGAAAGCACTTGGTTTCAGTAACCACTGATTCTGCCAGCTCCAAACTTTCAGACCTGAGATGCAGTACCCAGGGAATGTATAAAATCCAAATTCCCTTCTCCTGCCTACCTCTCCAACCTCTTATTTTTTTTATTGTGGCAAAATACATATAAAATTTATCATCTTAATCTTTTTTTTAATTAATTTATTTTTGGCTGTGTTGGGTCTTCGTTGCTGTGCGCGGGCTTTCTCTAGTTGCGGCAAGCGGGGGCTACTCTTCGTTGCTGTGCGCGGACTTCTCGCTGCGGTGGCTTCTCTTGTGGAGCATGGGCTCTAGGTGTGTGGGCTCAGTAGTTGTGGCTCACGGGCTCTAGAGCGCAGGCTCAGTAGTTGTGATGCACAGGCTTAGTTGCTCCGCGGCATGTGGGATCTTCCTGGACCAGGGCTCGAACCCGTGTCCCCTTCATTGGCAGGCGGATTCTTAACCACCGCGCCACCAGGGAAGCCTTATCATCTTAATCATTTTTAAGCGTATAGTTCCACAGTGTGAGGTACATTCACATTATTGTCCAACAATCATCACCATCTCCAGAACTCTGTTTATCTTGCAAAACTGAAACTCTGTACACATTAAACAATAACTCCCATTTCCCTTCCCCATAGCTCCTGGCAACCACCATTCTGCTTTCTGTTTCTATGAATCTGACTACCATAGGTACCTCATATATGTAGAGACATACAGCATTTGTCTTTTAGTGACTGGCTTACTTCACTTAGCATAATGTCTTCAAGGTTTATCCATGTTGTAGCATATGTCAAGACTATTTTTTGAAGGTTGAATATTCCATTGCATGTATACACCAAATTTTGTTTATCCATTCACCTCTCGATAGATACTTGGGTTGCTTCCACCTTTTGGCTGATTGTGACTGACACTGCTATGAACATGGGTGTACAGATAGCTCTTCAAGCCCTCATTTTCAATTCTTGTGGGTATATACGCAGAATTGGAATTACTGGATCATGTGGTAATCGTTTTTAATTTTTTGAAGAACTGCCATACTGTTTTCCACAGTGGCTGCACCATTTTACATTCCTACCAATAGTGCATAAGGGTTCCAATTTCTCCACATCCTCAGTAACACTTTTGTTTTCCATTTCTTTGATAGTAGCCATCCTAATGGATATGAAGTGGTATCTAATTGTGGTTTTGATTTGCATTTCCCTAATGACTAGTGATGTTGAAATGTCTATTCAAGTCCTTTACCGACTTTTAAACAGGTTGTTTTGTTGTTGCTGAGTTGCCCTTTCCAACCTCTTTTCATGTCACTCTCCCACTGACTAGTATCCTAGACTCATGCAGATGGTCTCTCTGTTCCACAGAGACATATGCGTTCTTTCCTACCTTTCACAGTTGCCGACCCTTTTCCCAGTTCCTTCCATGACTGGCTCCTCATCCTTTAAGCACCAGCTTAAATCTCACTTCAGAGAACATTTCTTGACCACCCATCCAAAGCCACCTCCCTGTTTACTGTATCTTGTATCACTGTTTCTTTCCTTCATGGAACTTAACCACAATCTGGAATTACCTTGTTTGTTCACGATTTACTTGGAACTTATGTTTACGTGGAATGCAAGTGCCATGGGGGATGCAGAGATATTGCCTGACATGTTCACTGCTCTATCCTCAGTGCCTAGCTTAGTACCAGCTCATAGTCTGGGCTCAGCATTTACTGAACGAACGAATCACTACTAGAGGGGGCCTCCCAGAGAGAAAGTAAGGTGACGTGGCCCAAATTGGAATTTAACCTCCATAATCTAGGCTTGATGTCATAGAAAAGGACACAGGGGTTTTCTAGCTCTGAGTTCCAGACTTTAATTCCTGAGTCAGGAGCACAGTACTAGTTGAACCAGGGACACTGCTTTAGAGTTGCCCAGGAGAAACAGGGAAGCATTCTCAGTGTCCATCCAACAGAGGGAGGAGGCTATGGTGGTGTGCTGTGGCCATCCTTACCATTCCCCATATGCCTGAAGTATGAGTCAGCTCAGCTAAAGTCCTATGAGATGTGCAAAGTACTTGGGATTCTGGGAATGACTTTGGCTCCGTTAGTCTCCTTCGTGCCAAATATGTCAGTAAAGAGCACTTTTAATGCGTAGTCAAAAGATAAAAGTGAATTTCCCATACCACGGGACACCAGAAAAATCGGATTTTTTATTTAAAAATATTTTCAACGTCATAGTGGAACAACTGAAGGATAGTTGAACCAAATTCTCAGGGAATTAGAGGAGCATCCTCCAATGCAAGCAGGTTTTATAAATACACATGGTTTATAAATGAGCACAACAGAAGGTACGCTGGCCAGAGGACCAGACTGGGGGACAGAAGGGAGAAACAGAGAGCCCTCCAAGAGGGACAGGCACACACTCCTATCACTCAAAGCCCTGGACCCCAAGACGGCCTCCAAAGCCACCTACTCTACTGCACGCCTCTTGCCGTCTCTGAGCCTGGGGCATGGAGACTGGAGACTTGGCACCTCTCATGGCCTCTGGCTCAACCCAGCAAGTCTCAGAGAATGGACCTGTTCTCCCTGCCCTTCAGCAAGGACCAGGGAGGGGAGGTGCTGGGGCAAGTAGGATTATTTCCCTGAAAATCTTATGGAAAAGAAGTGATTAAGGGGGCTGGTTCCCAAAAAAGGACGGGCATTCATCTGGTGTGGCAATGTGGGGAGAATGGAGCAGTGAGTTTCACCTGAGACATACAGATTTAGTGCAGGTATCCCACAAGGCCAGGCTCTAAGCCAAATCCTAGAACCTGGGATGGGGAGAGAATGAAGAGACCTCCAGTCTGAGTTTAGGAAGTTGTCACCTCCTGTCAGTCCCTCCAGTCTTCAATTGGGTTTGTCATAAATAGGACAGTCACAGTTCCACAGTAAATAACTTCCACCTGGATTTCTCCCTAGTTAACCTCTCAGGTGTCTGAAGAGGGAAAAAGTGGCTCTTTCTGACACCACCCACCCCATCGCCAGTGACTTTCCCTGATACATCTGGCCTCCTCACTAAGCCCTTTCCAGAACCTACAAAGGCACTCTCTTAGCATTTCGGAGTCCCAGAGAGGACAGGCCAGAGTTTTAAGGCACAGAGAAGCTTTTAGAATTGAGGAGACCTTGACAGAGAAGGAAGAATCTCTAAGGCAAAGCCACTACCATGGCCACTCTTCCTATCCTCTACCTCTCTTGTCCCCAAAGGTATCAGACAGACCCCCTTGGCCTGGTCCCTGCACTGTCCCAGGCCCACCTTGGACACCTCCATTATACTCATGAAGAACAGAGCCCGTGGAGTGGAGGACCCTCCTGCATGGCCTGCAGGTGACATGGTGAGCTCTGCCCTGCGGTGGCCCAGCACCATCGTGCCCAGTGCCCAGCCAAGCCCGACAGGCTGCCATTGGCCACACCCAAAATCCAGGCAGTCAGGCAGAGAGTACAAAGCAAGACCTCAGATCAAAGCCACTGCCCCTCCCATCCCCCACTTCCCACCTGGGGCACCTTGGAAATGTTTGAGCACACCAGGGAAAGATCCAGTACCTGGTCTGCGACCACAGTGGTCAAAAGGCCCTGTTCCACCTGTCTCACCAGGAAATAGCAGCTGAGGACACAGAAATGCTGGACCTCTATTCTCCTTCACAGCCACTGCCACAGTCCCCGGCTGCAGGTAGTGTCCTCTCAGATTCAGCCAGCCTCCTCATGAGGGGCCAGAACAGAGCCTCTGCACAGTGTGAACGCTCCTCTTGCTGGAATCCTGGCCACAGGCCCTCCTCTCCTCATTCATAGCTTACCTCACTCCCTCCAGTCTCCCCTGCATGGGTCCCTGGCTGACTGCAGAGAAGTCCTTTGGGCCCCAAATCAGGGACTCAGGCATCCAAGTGAGAGCACAGTATGCTGGGAGAGAGCGGAGCCCACACTGGTGGTTTGGGTTCTGGCCTCTGTCCCACCACTGGAGTGAGCCAAGTGACAGGTATCAAAGCGTGGCCGTTGTCCCTTGCAGCGGCCCCACGTGCTCTTCCTGTATGTCAGAGCTGCTTCCAAGGAACAAGTTAAAATCTTCTTTTCATTTAAGTGGTTGCTAAGGCTTAGTGTACAGAATTCCTCAGCTAGATCCAAAAATCTGGCTTTTTGTCCGAGTCCCAAAATTGTAGGAGCTTTGTAAACAGGTACTAAAGATCACTCATTACAGGAGGGAGAAGAGTTGGGGGGAGGAGAAGGGATCCGGAATATTTTCTTTCAGACTCAGTCTCAGCACGGCAGCAGCGTAAACCCAGCGGATTGTTGGTGGCACCTCAGCACCCAGAGCATTCTTCTTGGAGGAGTGGGGACAAAGGCCAAGTGGCTGTTACCTGCACACAGGAGAGATGACCAGGTCAGACAAAGGGCCTAGAAGGCAGACAGATGAGTCAGTGAAGACTTTGTCCACCCGTGAGAGGGGGTCCAGGTGGGATCTGTGTACCCTGCCCAACCTTGCTGAGGGCCATCAAGCCAGCTCAAGGGCAAGGCCAAGACCAGCCAGACTAACAAGCAGCCTGGCCATAGGTTTTGGCTGCTGTCCTTAACCCTCAATCCCAGAAGCATGAGAAAGAGAAAGGGCATCACCTGTGCCCAGGGACTGAGCCGTCCCAATTCAGGGAGCATAACTGCTGTTCTAGCCGGGAGATGCGGAACGCCAGGTACGATGAAGACATGACCAAGAAGCAGGTCCTGGAGAAAGAGGGGTAAGGAGGAATTGAATCTCTCTTCTAGAAAAGGGGCATTTTTACAGAATCCCCCAAAATAGGAGTGGGACTAAACTAGTTCCTGCCGTTGGAAGAATTAAAGAACCTTTTGCCTGCAGTTACGTTCTAGACCTAGGCATCTTTTTTCCCAGAGGCCACATGGGGGTCCTGAGACTCGTCCCCATGGAGGTGTCCTTGAAGCCCAGCAGGAGTTCTGGGTCCTTCAGCTGAGCCCACCTTCCCTCTGACCAGCCACCTTGGTCCTACACCCCCTCTGCAAGGCCACTAAGATTACCCCCTAAGGCGGTAGCCCTTCCCCCAGCAAGTGCTGAGGTTGACAGTCAAAACCCAGCCAGCAGAGCCAGAGGAAGGTGATGAGGTAAGGTGAGGGAATCCAGGGGCTGGCTCTTCATAAAACATCCCACCATGCTCACTGCTCTACTTAGGCAGAATTACAGACAAGCCTGGGTTTCCAGAAAACACCCCAATGGTGGGCAGCGGGAAGGCCATGGCTCTCCCTTAGTCTATCTGATGGGCCTCTCAGATTTTGCCAACCCTCCTCCTCCCCAATCCTGTGCAACTTTTTCTTTCTTCAACAGCTTCACGTCTTGCCCCTCTCCACAGCCTTAACCCTAAATTACAGGGTTGTAAGGATGAAAACTGGAAATACTTTATCTTGCTCTAGAAGAGCCTGCTGCACGGCTGCCAGATGCCACCCGGGAGCTTGCAGTTGACTCAGAACCTTCCCCTCGCTCTGGACACTGACCTCCCCACATACCAAGGCCCTGGCTCTGAACACTCAGACACCCACCACCCTCCATACAGCCACCTACAGCACGAGGAAGACCTTCAGGAGCCCGTGATCCCAGAGCCTCTGCTCCCCGTTGCTCTGGGGCTCGTCCTCCAGCCCCTTCTCCTCATAGTCAGCGTTCTCTGCAACAGGACGGCATTAGGCATCTTCCTGGGCAGAAGGCAGGGCCCCAGCCCACTCCCCCGCCCATGTTCTCTGGAGCCGCTTTGGCTCTTGGCTTTCCCTTATGGATTTGGAGAAAGAAAGAAACAGCTCTCAGAAGCCCTGCTGGCTGTGATGACCTCTTTTTGCAGAAGTGGGAGGCGGGACAGCCTGGTCTTTGGAAGCAGTTGCCATGGACAAGCACGCTGAACTCACCAGACCCCGGAGGCTTCCTGGAGGGGAAGCAGTCATCCGTGGAGTCCGTGGATGCCCGAGGGATACAAGGGATGTTGTCTGGGAGGGACAGGGACCTGGAGGCAGGGCACACTTTTCTCCACTTCATCTCAGGGATGAGGACTTCCTGCAGAGAAGGCAGGAGAAGCTGTCTCACCATGGCCCTTGGGACCTCACTTGCCCTAAGGGGTTCACGCTAGATTGATCAAAGCCTTTCCAGATATTATCAATATGGATGCCTAGCAAGCATGAAAGCAGGTGTCCAGAAGCGGGGAAACCACTGCCATAGCAATCACATGTCTCATCTGCTCCCTTGCTGTGACCAGCCACTCTTCCAGGGAATGTTGTCTTTGAAGACTGCTAGTGTAGAACCACAGTGGAGTCTAAGACATGAGCCATCCCAGGTACGTGTTCAGATCGGCTGAGTCCAAGACAGCTTGGCACTGTATATCTTAGATGGAATAAGTTGTGACTCCTGCTAATCTGGGCTCTAACCCTATGTCACTGACCTTGACTTAAGGTCCCCATCAATAAAAAGGGGAACATCGCCTTCCATCCCCTGCATGGCATTGTGCGTATTGTATGCTTGGCTAAACGCTTAATAGTTACTCAAGTAGACTTCAAACACCCTGGGGTCATTTCCACCCCCCACCCCTGCTCTAGAAACTCTGCTTACCCAGGATCCCAGGAGCAAAAGAAACAGCTGGGACCTTGGCCAATCTAAAAGGATCCTGCCTCAGTTCTGACTGCCTTCAGCGCTCTTCCCCAGGGACATCTCCAGCCCCTTGAAGGCCCTCCTGACTGCTAAAGGAAAGAGGATGGGCTGCTGGCTCTGTACCCGCGAAGGTATAGGGTCCAACCTGGGCAGTGTTCCGGGGGCTGGGCATCTGTTCTGCTCAGGAAGTTAGCACATCTGCCCAGGACATAGTGGCTCTGCATGGTATGGAGCGTGGTGGGTCTAGGGGACCCCCTGACACAGCATGGCCACTGGCTCTTGAGCCTGCTGCCCCAGTTCTGCACTGTGGGCTCCTGCCTGGGAGGCCCTGAAGCCTTAGACCCACAGGCAATCTCAAGCCAGCCACTTTTGCTCCCAGCCTCAGCTCTCACCAGAGACTCGCACTCAGGTTCCTCTAGAAATTCTCTTGCACTCAGACTCTTCTTGCTGGAAGGCTGAGGAGGGAAGGGAACAGGGATCACTTGTCCATCTGGAACAGCCAAAGTCAGGCATGGGGAGGTATTAACACTCTCCAAGAGAGCTTTACCTCCAAATAAGCCACTTTAGGTCAGATAGAGCCTAAAGCTCCCAGAGTTTGCAGGGGGATCCCTAGTTAATGCTGGAGCAGAGGGCAAAGCCAAGGCAACATACTCCCCCAAGCTGCTGCCCTCCCCCTTCCTCACCATAGGCAAGAGCGAGCTGTAGGCATATTGGGAAGTGGCCACATGCTCCTGCCCGTCTGTGCACCAAGGAAGCACAAGTGAGGGCTATACGTGGGGACACACAAGGGCCCAGTGGCCTCAAAAAGGCTCACAAGCATAGACACATGGTCCAAGGACTGCCTCTGATTCACTGAGCCTGAGCCCGTTACTCCCCGTTTCCTGTGCCGGGGAGATGGGCCAGCCCCCCCACAACAGCCCTGGCCCCAAGCTTCATACCTGTAGGTGGGTGCAGACCCTCCTCAGCATGTCATATACACTGTCCCGGGAGAGCAGTGACACAAAGACATACTAGAACGTACAAAGAAAATAGAAAGGGGCAAGGTACATAAAGACTTGGGAGAGTGCCAGGGTCAAGCTGTGGACTCCTAGAGCTGGAATGGGGAGAAGGACAAGGGAGCGCTGGCCCAGAATCTCACTGACCTTCTGGCTGGTGTTGGTGGTGATGGCCAGGCCATTGGGAAGGAGCCGCGCCATCTTGTGTTTTTTGATCATTTGCACAGACACCACGGGAATGACCACCTGACGGGGGAGAGGCATTCTTCTCTCAGGACTCACCCCCAAGGACACAGTCCCTTTGCTTCCTGCTTAGGGCGCCAGCCACAGCTGGCAGTGACCCAAGCACGAGCACCGTGGAGATGTCTGGTCCCATGTGGGAGAGTATCTGAGCCTCCACCGTCTCACGCAGGCTCCCATCAGTTATCCCCCACCCCTTGGCCGCACGCGCTGCTCCGGCCTCTCACCCCATCATCCAGGAGTCAAGGATGGTTGCCCTGGTGAATCCCATACTGCAGTAACAGAGTTCCCTGAGCCACCATGCACCGTGGCCACTTTCGGGCCCCCCTAAGTGTGACATCCCACTCTGATTCTGAAGGCATTTTGGAGGTACCCGTAGGCAGAATAATTTGGCAGTGAACTGTTCAGGCCGCTCAGGCCAGATGTGGAGTCTAGACTGGGGCCCCTGTTTGGAAGGGTGGGGCTGCTGCCCTGGACACCAGGTGGGATGCCCTACAGTGAGAAGCCTCACCAAGTGTCAGCGTGTGGAGGGACAGGCCTGACTTGAGGTGCGCCCACCGGGCAGGGGCGTCTCTTCCCTGGGCTGTGGCAGCCCTTACCACTTATTACTACCTTGATATCCTTGCCAAAGAGGCTGGCGTGGAAGCAGAGCCAGTTGGGGGAGATGAAGAGCCGGCCCTGGAGAAGGAGGTCCCTCTGGAGGGCGCAGGAGCATACTGGGAAGTCACAGGAGACTGCCGTGAGCAAGGCCAGCCCGGGAGCCCCGGGGCCTGGGTCCTCCCACTCAGGAGTCCAGAGTCCAGCCTCGGGGACTGTCCTCCTCAGTGCCCTTCCCAATCCCAGGCCCCAGCAACCCATTCCCCCAGTACCCTAGCATCCTTTCCTGTGACTCCTGACCGCTCCCACCCCACCAGACTGCTAGATGTTTCCTCTGCCTCCATCCATGCCCCAAAAGGTCCGGCAGGTTTCTGCCCTGGTCCCCTAAGCCTGGATGTTCACCTCCACAGGCAGAACTCCTTGCCCTGCCCTGCCAGGGAGAGAGGGCCTTGATTGTGCAAATGCTCCCACACACTCCCCGGCAGGCCTGAACAGGAGAGAATAGACACTGATAAGAGCAGAACAGAAATAAGATTTGGAAGCCCCAACATTTCCTCAAGAAAATTTTTGTAAATTCAACTTCATATCTCAAATCAGCCCATTCTTCTCACACTTTTGAAGAAAAAAAGGGCACGTTCAAAGGGCAGCCAGTTCCCATATCTGATTTGTGCCTGGAAGCTCTAGGGGAGAGGACCTGGGCCTTGGGCACTGCAGGTGCCTGTCCAGCCACCCGGGGAGACAGCTCACCTTTGAGAACCACCTCCTCCAAGGGGATGTCCTTAAACAGCTTGTGATATTGCTGGTTGTATTTTCTCAGTAGCGTCTGCAAACACACGAGCTGGGTCTGAGGAGTCCCAGGAGATCGGACCACAAGAGGGCCCTGCTCCAGCCACCAGCAAATAAGGCCACAGGGGTGGGGGTCCTGCGGTGACTTAGCATGAAGTAGTGGGTAAGCAGCCAGTGGGTGTGGAGGGCTGAGCTCCAAGCACAGCTTGTCTCCTGGTGACGTGAGGTCCTGACGGGCAGCCTAGGGCTGGAAGAGGACACAACTCCCACCCAGGAGGGGACACCCACTAGGTTTCCTGGTGACAGGCCTGTGGCCAAGGAGCCAACAGTCACCAAGTTCAGGCAGCCCGGGACCCCTCTCTCAGTGGGCAGTGAGAAGTCGGCTTCCCCACACTTACCCCATCTCGGCCGCACTTCTTTATGTCTTCACCCTTCAAGCCTTCTGGCCAGTGCATACTGCAAAGGAGACATGCCATTCCAGGGACAAGGAACCCTCAAAGTCCTACCCATGCATCCTTAGTGCCAATTCTGTCCTGGCCTCAAGCCACAAGCTTGGGGCAGAGATTGGAGGCTGGGGCCCTTCACAGCGAGCGCATAGCTCGCCCTGGGGAGGAGCACTCCTGAGGCAGGGAGGGGTCGCTGAGAGCCCTCTTCCCCGACAGCTGTGAGCAACCGCCCCCAGGAGGCATGCTCGGCCTGAGCCTCGATGTCCCAGAGCTGCCCACCCCTGAGTGTCAAAAGCCCTCTCCCGTTTTTCTGACCTAGGCGCAAGCAGAGGAGCGGACCGCAGAGTGAATGAGCAGGAGGCACAGGGATGGGGAGCAGGTGGGGTGGGGGCGTCAGCCTCACGGCTCCAGGGCCTGGCCATGGGCCATGATCCCAGCAGGACTGCCCTCTCCCCGGGCCTGCAGCTCTGCAGTGAGGGGCTGGGCAGACTCACCTGACCTGACGGAAGCTACCAGGGCTGGCGGAGAGGGGCTGGTGCTGAAATGCAAACTTTTGCCCCGGCCAGGTTGGCCTGAGGACAGGTGGGCAGGGAGGAGGCTGGTAACCCGAGAAGCCTGGACCCTGCTAGGTCCCAGTGCGCTGGGACAGGCCTGGGAGTGGGAGGAAGAGGCCCCGGGCAGCCTATGCCCAACCTAACCCCCTGACGCAGCCTTAAGGCCCCCTTTCGAACAGGTCACCTCCAGAGGGCTTCCCACCCCCAACCAGTATGTATATCTGATCGGGAGAGGGGCCTCACCTGGAGCCTCGGAGTCTCTGGACCCTGCCTAGTTTCTCCGTGCTCTTCAAAGAAACCGTCTTTCCATGCACCTGTTGAATACTGAGGAGAAACAGGCCCTCATCAGGAAGGGGGGCTTTCTGGGGACACCTTTCCCAGCCAGCTCCACCATGTCCAGGGCAGCTGCCTCTGCCCCCTACCCAAGACCGGCCCTGCTATTCAAGGTGCGCTGAAGATGTCACAGTACAGAGGCAGCAGCCCAGGCAGGGCTTCAGGGCAACTGACAGAGAGAGGAGACTCACTCACTGTCTTTCCTGGAAGCGTGAAGTCCAGTTTATGCCTGGGTATGAAGGAAAATCAATCTCCCAGGCAGCTCTTAGGCTTCCAGCCCCACCCTTGAGAAGGCACCTGGGAGGGAGGACCCTGTGACTTGCTCCAGACCGAAAGCAAAACTTTCGGAGGAGCCCAGGCAGTATTACCATAAACCATCAGCTTCTGGGAAAGGATTCTGAGCACAGGAGGCCTTATCAAGGCTGAGCAGTTGATACTGCGCAGATGTGGTCGTGAACTTCAGCCCACAGCTGAGTGTGGGCTTAGGGGGCGGGGATGCCCCACACCAGGAAGTGGCCTCAATGCCTTCAGACCATCAGGGTAGCTCGGACCTGAGAGCCAAACCATCACAAAATTGTCCCATAGAGAGGGCCCGAGAGGGGGTAGACAACCTCTCCATAGGCAGGTGGGGCTCCCCAAAGGCTTTTGAATTCATGCCTCCACTAAACAGCTCCAAAGCCTAGGGTCCTCCCCTTCCTGCTCCTCCAGAGCAGAAAGCCTAAAGCTTGAGCAGGCAAACTAGCCGCAGCTGGGTGGGCCCAGGGGTGATGGGAAGAGAGGGTGGCCAGGAAGCAGGGCCAAGGCAGGGCAGTGTGGTGGTCGTGAATAGGTAACGGGGTCTGTGCACTGGTCTCTCAGCAGGTAAGGAGCCGGAACCTGGAACCTGCAGATCCCAGCGCTCCGTCCCTCTCGGCAGTGTCACCAGGCAAAGTCAAATTCTCTTCTTCAAGAACAGAGTTACCGGGACTTCCCCGGTGATCCAGTGGGTAAGACTCCGCGCTCCCAACGCAGGGGGCCGGGGTTCGATCCCTGGTCGGGGAACTTGATCCCACATGCGTGCAGCAACGAAAAGTGCACATGCCGCAACTAAAGATCTCGCGTGCCGCAACAAAGATCCCGACGCGGTGCAGCCAAAATAAATAAATATTTTTAAAAATAAAATTAAATTTAAAAATAAATAAATTAATTAAAGAAGAGTTACTGCCTAGCCAAGATCTGCCAAGCCCCTCCAGGATTATTAATCTGACCCTCCTCCCACCCTACCATTGTACAGATAGGAAACTGGGACCTACCAGGGACAGGCTGTACCCAGTGTCACACAGCAAAGAGCCAGGTGATCTCACCCACCAAATGAGCCCAACCACAGCCGTGTGGCCTGATGACCTCTGTCCTCAACCTCACGGTGAGTTTTGGTGCACATATCACGTATGTCCTGAATCTTTCAAAGTGACAGGTTGTGCAAGCGATGTGACCCTTTGACTCCTAAAGTTAATTTCTGAATTTATTTGGGTCCATCATAACACATTTCACAGAGACTTCTCCCCCTTGATTTTTTTAATGCTTATTATAGAAAATATGAGAAATATAAAATATATAAAGCATTATGATCAAAAATCACCCATAAGAAAAAAATTCCCCCAAAATCACCCAAAGAAAACATCTATGCATAAATATATAATTTACATAAGTGGGATTATATATCATATAATTTGTATGCCCTATTTTTGCTTAACATAATTTCATGAGAAATTCCCCATGTCACTATTCATTCCTTGGTTAGATTCTCAGAAGTGAAATTTGTGGATGGAGGATGAGCATTTCTCAGGATCTTTAGACCCACTTCCAAAATGCTTTCCAGGTGCTATACCAACGAGCATGGCCATCAGCACTGTATGAGGGTGCCCGTTGCCCTACATCCAGGCCGTACACTGGGTATTATCTTTTTCTCACCTTTGCAAATTTGATAGGTGAAAATATATTGTTTTCATTTCTATTTCTGCTTATTGACAGGTGGAACATTTTTGCCAAATACATATTAACCACTGGGATTTCATCTGTGAATTGTCTATAAGGATCTTCATGTCTTTCTTATTGATTTGTATACCTTCTTTGTTGAGAAGATTAATCCTTAGTTTATCATTTTTGCAAACACTTCCCCCATTTGCCTTTCAGTTCTGTGGTATTGTTGCTGTACTTGTGTTTAATTTTTGTGCGGCCCATCCCATCCCTCTCTTTCATCTCTCTGTTTCTTTCTTGCTTTGAGGATGAGAGGCCCCTGAGGCAGAGTGTGTACAAGTCAAAACACCGAGCCTTAGAGACTTTGAACCCTGCAGCCCAGGAGCCCACCGGGCCACCAGGGAGGAGATGGGTGTGGGCTCCGCTCTAAGGAACACACTCCAGCCCTGGGGACCAAGGATAAAACAAGACCCCAAGAGGAAGAAGGAGGAACTTGATCATGGTTTCAGAGGCAGGGAGCCTGTCATTCAGGCACTGGAAAGTGTGATACGAGTTGTCAGGGCTGCAGGAGCTCAGAGGACACACAGAGTGAAAGAGTTACAGCAGGACTCCCAGAGAAAAGGAAGCTGAGCCTTACCAGCTGGGTGGGACTATAATCGTGCTTGGCTTCCATCATCTAACCCTGCGTGATAATCACGCCTTTGCATAGATTCTAAACCCAGCCCATCCTTAGGTTCAAATGTGACCTCAGGGAGGGGCGCCTTCCGTCAGTCCTCCCCCAGCCTAGTGATGAGCCCTACTGCAGGCTCTCAGCCCCGAACCCCAGGCTCCCTCTCAGGCACCTGTGTGTGAGCTCTAACTGCCCACCTCCAGGGGCTCCAGGACACCTCCTGCAACATCGTAGCCCCTGAGCCTGGGGCACCACCAGCGTGCAGCAGGCACTCGTGACGTGACATGTCTGAGGAAGGACTGTGTGGACAGTGTAAGTGAGATCAAGAACAGAGGTTGGAGGAGAGATGGGCCGTGAGAATAACAAAAAAAGGCTGCCACGATTCCCACAGCATCTCCGTGAAAAAAATAACGGTAAGAAAACAGGAGTCCCTTGGGGTAAATGACTCAAATATGTTCAAACTCAAAGCAACCCCTTTTCATGTGATGAACATGATGGTCACAAGCCAATCTTTCATGTCCATCGATGAAAATCAGCCCCTCCAAGCCGTCCTGATAATGCTGTTGGTACAGAGACCCTGGCTATGGCCGAAATGCACTGCTTTCAAAATCACCTTCAAGTCAGACTTTCTACTGATTCGTCTTCTTTCCCATAGTATTTGTTTAGATGAGTAAAAATAAAGAGATGGGAGCAAAGTCAGAGGAAAAGCTAGGTCTGGGGTGATAGTCATTGAGAATTCACCAACAGAACCAGGCAGGTGGGGTCCACCCAAGGACCAACAGGGCCCTGACCCAGACGAAGGAGGTGGCAAGAGCAGGGCGCTGGAGAGTGAGGGGCCAGGCTGGGTCCCCGCCCCCTGCCGGCAGTCTCTGTCCACTCCCACAGAGCCTTCCTCAACCTAGTTGCTCTTGCTATGTGTGTTGGGAACCATACCCGCTGCCCATCCAGCCCCATCACACCTCCACGTGCAGACTATGGAGTTAATATCAAGGGTCTTCAAAACCGTATCTATTTTTTCAATCAAAGCCACAAAAAAATGTCATTATTGTCATGAGGGTGATGGAGCACGGGAGGCTCAGTATGCTGGACATTAAAGGGGGTAGAAAAGGTTTGAAAATTCCTCAGATGAGGCCCTTTCATTCTGCTGAGCCTGGTCCAAAGGCAAGATGCTGATCCAGAGGACACAACTTGTGCTTGCCCTGCCCTCAGGCCTTGCTGGCCCAAGTGGGAACTCAGGCTAACTGCCCATTCCTTCATTCCTTCCACAAATACTGAACTTATCACCCCATGAACCCAGTATGAGCCTGCCCAGCCCAGGGGGCTGCTGAGAGGGAGGGGATGGGCAGCTAGCACTGAGAGACGTCGGGAGAGGAGCCAGGCCCATCAGGAAAGGGGAGACACAGGGAATTCCCTGGTGGTCCAGTGGTAGGACTCCGCACTTTCACAGCCAAGGGCCCGGGTTCAATCCCTGGTCGGAGAACTAAGATCCTGTAAGCCAAGCAGCACAGCCAGAAAAAAAAAGAAGGAAAGGGGAGACACAGAGAGGTTAGGAGAGGGAGAGAGAGGCAGTGCAGAGAAGACCCAGACCTAGCTGCTTCCTAGGGACCTCACAGACGAAGCTTCATGGGACACTTGACACATGCACTCTGCTCTGGATGCCTCCCCCGGGCTCAAAATATCCACACCAGGTAGATAAATCCCTAACGTGACACCTCGTCCCTCCAGAGCGGCAGAGCCTGCCATCTAGACGAATCCATCAAAGTGAGCTCAGCATCATCCCCCCAAACCTGCTTCCCCTTGAAAGGCCCCAACCTCCACAGTTACCCAAGCCAGAATTCTCAACTCACGCTTCTTCCCCACCGCTGCAACCAGTCAACCGCCAAGGCCCCGAGAGCCTGGCACCACCCGACCCACCGTACCATCTACTGTCTCCACTCCTGCTACAGCAGGCAAGCCTAGGCCACCATCATCCTCTTCCTGGATGCTGGCAACAGCTTCCTAACTACACCTGCCCCCAGCCTTGCCCTTCCACACCTGGCACTCTCCCACACCCACACTGCCAACAGAGCCACCTGGGGCCCAGATCTGAGCCTGCCCCCCTCCTGCTGACTTTCCTCCTGTAGTTCCTTCTTGCCTCCTACCTGGCCTTCCTGACCTTCCTTGCTTCCTTTCCAGCCTCACCCCTGCAGCTCAGCGGCGGCCCTTCACCCCTGCATGTTTGCTCTTCCTGGAATTCCTTGCCATACTTATCTACCTGGGGAATTCCCTGGTCGTCTTTCAAAGCCCAGATCAGGCATCACCTTCTCTGTGAAGCCTTCCCAGCTTTCCGCCATGCAGAGCTGGTCATCCCTCCTCTATGGTCCCTGGTCCCTTCTTTCACGCTGCTGCTCCAGCCCTTACCACCCCAGAGTGTGCTTGTCTGTTTAGACATCTGAGCTCCACCAGGGGTGTGTCTTCTACATCTCTGTACCAGCAGCACACAGCAGGTGCCCAATGTTTGCTAAATGAATGAGTGAAGGAGAGACAGAGAAAGGGACACGATGACACTTCAAGAGGGAGGAGGGGAGAAAAAAAGCCGGGTAGTAGGGACTTCCCTGGTGGCACAGTGGTTAAGAATCCGCCTGCCAGTGCAGGGGACACAGGTTCGAGCCCTGGTCCGGGAAGATCACACATGCCGCGGAGGAACTAAGCTCATGTGCCACAACTACCCAGCCTGCGCTCTAGAGCCCGCGAGCCACAACTACTGAAGCCTGTGCGACTAGAGCCCGTGCTCGGCAACAAGAGAAGCCACCGCAATGAGAAGCCCGTGCACCGCAACGAAGAGTAGCCCCCACTCGCCGCAACTAGAGAAAGCCCGTGCGCAGCAACGAAGTTCCAATGCAGCCAAAAATAAATAAATAAATAAAAAATTTTAAAGCCAGGCAGTAAGAGTGAAGGAGGCACAGAGAATGATGGATGCCCAGCAGTAAGGGGAGGGGTGGTGGACAGGAGTGGAGGGGGGTCACCCACAGATGGGCCCTCCCCTCCGGGAGCCCTGGCCTGTGGAGCAGGCAGACAGCCCGGCCCGGCAGCGCCAGGCACTCAATCCACGCCGGCTGACTGATCAAAGAGGAGCCCAGGTGGGAGACAGAGGACATACGGAAAAGGGTAAAGTGGCTCGGAAGGGATGGGAGGGGGTGTTTGGGGAAAAGCACAGGCTGGGCCCCTCCCAGCCCCACAGCAGTGCTCACTGGCTGCACCCCACTGGGCTGTCGCAGCCCCACCCGCTACCCAGCCCCTCCACCAGAACCCTCTCTAACCACAGGGCAACCCCTCCCCTCGCTCCTCAAGCCTCGGGCAGCAGCAGTGCCCGTGGCTGGTGCTGAAGCAGAAAACTCGGCCAGGCCTGGCAGCCGGAGGCAGCTGGGCCTTTGTGGTCACTGGAGGGTCCCCTCAGGTGTGTCTCCTCCCCCAGGGGGATGTCCACACTCTCCCAAGTTGTCTTCTAGTGGACACCTGAGATGCTAGAGTGTCCTGTGGGTCACTTCTCAAGGCCAGGGCCAGCTCCCCCCACTCCTGCAGGACGTAGGTCCCAATCAGCTCCAAGGAGAGATCTTTTCCAAACAGAAAACACATCTTAGGGAATTCCCTGGCGGTCCAGTGGTTAGGACTCCGCGCTGGCACTGCCCAGGCGGGGTTCAGTCCCTGCTTGGGGAACTAAGATCCCGCAAGCCACGTGGAGCGGCCAAAAAAAAAGAAAGAAAACCCATCTTAGCAGCAGGCCCCTGAGAGTGCAAAGCCAGAGACGGCGAATAGAGCCATCTAGGGACAGGGAGCTGAGGGCGCGTGTCCTGGAAGGAAGGTCCACCACTGGGGCTCAGCAGCCTAGACCTTGGGGCGCCTCCAGATTCCCCCAGGCTCCCTCACCCCACCCCACCTCTACATCTCAGCACACAGCTCACCACCTACTTCACAGAGAAAAAAGACCATCCTGTTAACTCGGAAGGGTAGCCTGCCGGGTACACACTAGAATCACCTGTAGAGCTTTTCAAAAAACCAACCAAAGAAAAATGATCCCTGAGCTCTGTTCTCAAACCAGTTAAATCAGAACCTCTGGGGGTAGCATTTAGGTAACTATATATTTTTAACTTGTTACTGATGTGTACTTTACATATTGAAAAGTGCACACAAAGTAAGTGAACCGTGCAACGCATTTCACAAACGGTGCATACCGGAGAAGCTGCCCTCCAGAAGCCCCTCCCACGCCTTCTAGTCTCACTGCCCACTCCCAACCCCCCACCCCCGGTCAAAGAGAACCACCTACGCGACTTCCAACAACACAGATTGTCTTTGCCTCTTCGGGGACTTTCTGTGGATGGAATCATGTGGTACGTGTTCTTTTACTCGGCAACACACTGGTGAGATTCATCCACACTGCTGTGTGTGGCTGCAAACTCTGCATTTTCACTAATGTTTAGAGTTCCATTATATGGACATGTTGCAACTGATTTATTAATCTTACTGTTGAGGGGCATTTTACTATTGAGTTTCCAGTTTTTGCCTGTTACAAAACCGTTGCTATAAACATTTCAGCACCTTGTGTCTTGTGCACACAAGTATTCGTTTCTATGAGTAAACACTTAGGGTTGGTATTGCTGGGTCATGAGGTTCAGCTTCAGGCTTTTAAAAGCTCTCGGGTGATTTTAAACCCCTCCTTTGTTTGGGGCTCAGAGGGAGACGCATACCTCCTGGTCTCCGAGGCCAGTCCTCCCACCTGGGCTCCAGACCCTCCTGTGCCTTCACCCGGCCCTCTGGAGTTCCAGGAACATCCTTGGCGAAACAGGGAATCACGCTCTTAATAGAGATTTCCTTCATCTGTTAAGGTCGCAGAGTTCATTTCCTGAGTTTTGTCAAGGAAGTAAGGCCAGCCCTCCCGTGTGGCAGCATCCAGCCCTGAACCACACTGTGTCCTGCCCAAGAGCCCCCCCTATCTTTCTCTCAGGGCCACTGGCCCGAAGTACAGCCCAGAAAATGGCTGACAAGACCTCTCCCCAAGGGAAACTGGAATAACGTGGACAGAGTCAGGCTCGTCGTCAATACACTGAAACTTGAAGTGGAAAGGCAATCTCCTTTTGCAAAAAAATAACTCTATTATTTCTTACATAGAGGCTGCACCTCACTTTTTATTTTTTTAAGCTGATAATCCATATCTAGGACAACAAGGACAAGTTTCACCTTTTCCACCCATTAGGGAAGGGGAGAGAATCCCATAACTGAATTCCATACTGAGTGTAAGGGCGTGTGGCTCCGAGTTGGGGGCCACATGCTGCGCCCCAATCCGTCTGTCCTGCTCAGCAGCCCTGGCAAAGGACTCAGGGTGGGGCAGGTGCTCAGCCTAGTCACGATCCCTACTTCCCAGGAGCTGGTCTGAGAACCCCTGGGCCAGGAATATGCTTCGTTTCCCTTTACTACCTGTGGCAGCTTTGAAATGACAGGGAATGTGGAGACCCAGTTTGTACAGATGACCCGGGCTACAGGATAGAACCACGGGGGTGCTCCAGACCCAAGCAAAGCCACCCGCAAGCTGACCAGCGCCCTCTTTAGAATGAAAAGCTGAGGGACTTCCCTGGCGGTCCAGTGGTTAGGACTTTGCCTTCCAATGCAGGGGGTGCGGGTTCGATCCCTGGTCGGAGACCTAAGATCCCACATGTCTTGCGGCCAAAAAAAACCAAAATATATTTTTAAAAAAGCAATATTATAACAAATTCAATAAAGACTTTAAGATGGTCCACATTAAAATAAAAATTTTAAAAAAAAGAATGAAAAGCTGAGCTGGCCCATCAGGATCCCTTTCTGATGAATCCTAACTGGGAAATACGGGAGGTGGAGGAGGCGGGCCAAAGGCAGTGAACAGGCAGGAGAGAGCCGCAGGTGTCCTGGGCCAGAGTGACTGGGTGCACCTGGAGATTGGGTCTAGCATGAGGAAGAGAGTGAAGAGAGAAGCAGGTGGGCCGTGGGCCAAGCCCCGCCCCGGGAGACAGCGAAGAGGGTCTGCTCCCCGCGGCTGCTCCTTGACTTTCCATCTGCTCCCGATGCCCCGGCCCTTGCAGCCAAGACCAAAAACCCCCATACCTGGTTTGCCCGAAGACCACAAACGAGGGCACACATGTGATGTCCTTTAAGACATGATGGGACTTCCCTGGTGACGCAGTGATTAAGAATCCGCCTGCCAATGCATGGGACAGGGGTTCGAGCCCTGGTCCGGGAAGATCCACATGCCACGGAGCAACTAAGGCCGTGCGCCATAACTACTAAGCCTGCGACCTAGAGCCCGCAAGCCACAACTACTGAGCCCAAGTGCTGCAACTACTGAAGCTCGCCTGCCTAGAGCCCATGCTCTGCAGCAAGAGAAGCCACCGCAATAAGAAGCCCGCGCACCACAACGAAGAGTAGCCCCCACTCGCCGCAACTAGTGGGGCAGGTAGTACAACTTAACACCTCACGGGTGAAGAAGGGAGGCTCAGCTGGGTTCACTGGCAGGGCCAGGACTCCATAGACGGCTGATACCCACACCTGGGGGTACCATACCTGCAATGCGCCTTCAGGGCCAAGAAAGGGAAGAAGCCTCTGAAGAAAGTTCAGACCAAGTCTGGCCCCATTAACGATGGAGCCCCCAGGGGGAAGGAGGTGAATGGATCTGGCTCATGATCTCCTCTAATCTCAGTCCAGTTCTAGTCATGCAAGAGAGATGCACCATTCCCATCACAGATGAGGAAACTGAGGCCCACAGAGGTAAAGCACTTTGCTCCTGACCACATAACTGGAAAGCAGTGGAGCTCGAATTCAAAATCCAGTCTGGCTGAAAGTGTGCACTCTTTCTATCGTGCCTGGAGCGCTCGAGGGACCCAAATTCTGCCCTTTCCTAGAGCTCTCCTGCTGCAGGGCCAGGCCCCCGCTCTCCCCACAGGCCCAGTACAGGGGGACTAGGGGAAATGGAGGGGGTGTCTACTGGGCTGAGATGATCATGTGGGAGCCCTTCTGGGAAGTGGGGTTCCCTAGATCAGAACCCCCTAGGCTTTATCTCCCTTACTCCAAGAACCAAACACACTGGGTGAGCTAGTTGCTAGGAAGATGTGGGCTGGCCCAGCCCTCTGGGGGCGGCTAGATCCAGCCTGAACAAGGACCCCTTTGAGCGCTGGTGCTAACAAGAACTCCTTCTACCTACAGGGATCTCAGAAACCCCGGGTCCTCCCATCCAATGGGAGCTGGGAGGGCCAGGGGCAAGGCTGGCCCCATCTCCCACTCTCGGCAGCCAAGTTGCCTGGTTGACTGGACCAGCCCTGGTTAAAGGGCCCCAACCCCTTTTCCCTTCTCCCTGACCTCCCACCCAGGCCTGGGCTCTCAGCACACCAGAAAGGCCCTGCTCCTCATGCGGACAGAATCTGGGAGCAAAGTGCTCAGGCTGACGCTTCTCCTGCCCTCGGGAGCCGCGCTAAGGAGCCCCCCCTCCCAGGTCTGCCTGGGCCCTGCTCAGCTAAGCTGCTGCTGCCCGAGGTAGGGACCCCTCTTTCTCACCCCCCAGGACCTCTCCTCCCTGAAGCCTGGCCGGCCTGTACCTCCAGGGAGAGCAGAGCCGTCCCCCGCTGTGCCCACTTCTGCTCAGATAGCCTCCTTTGCTGTACCACCTGTTGATGCGGCAGTCTCCCCCCTAGACTGTCAAATTCATCTCTTACCCCAGGGCCTCGCACAACCTCAGGCATACAGTAAGTGCTCCATAACTGTTTACCGAAGAGACAAATGCTCCCTGTGGAAAACCCCTCTGTGTAGTCTGTTTAGCAGTAGTGGGGCCTCAGGATACCAACATAAGGCCTGGAGTAAGGGAATTCCCTGGAGGTCCAGAGGTTGGGACTCTGCGTTCTCACCGCCAAGGGCCCGGGTTCGGTCCCTGGCCAGGGAACTAGAGCCCCACAAAACACACGGCGCGGCCTGGAGTGAGAACAACCCACTCAAGTTTGCCTCTGGCTCCCCTGACCCTCCGGGTGGCCCCCAGGCATCTCCCCCTGAGTCTCCTCCCTCCTCTCTAAAATGGGGAGAATCCTTTCTCTGGCCTGCAGATGGTCAGGGCCGCTGTGAGGATCTGAGACAGGTCACGGCCCAGCCCTGGGGAAGGGGGCCGGCTCTCACAGCCTTGCCCGCTGGGCCTCCCATCCCTGCCTACACCACTGAGAGCTGAGTTGCCCCCTTACCCTCCCATCATGTCCCTTGAAGGATGCCCAGAGGTGAGCTCCCCATGGGAAGTAGAGATGGGGACACCACCGGGCCCCCCACTGCACCCGCAAAGCTCCATACATGTCCTGCGTGACTGAACCTTTCCCCTGGGACAGTGGCAGCGGGCAGGGCCCTCTTTACACCTGGGTGGCATCCACGGACTGCGTCCTATCCCCTGGGGCCCAGAGGTCCTCCCACAGCTCAGGCCCAACCATACTCAGGATCCCACCCTCTCTTCTCTCTCCACCAGAGGTACGAGGCCAGCAGTTGCTGCCCCCTTCCTGGCCAGAGCTCAAAGACCTGCAGAGTGACAACAGTCACCAGGGAGACAGATGGACAAATGGCTGAAACCTGGAAGCTTCGCTCCTGGGGATACACAGGATTTCCTACAAAGCCCCGGCTACGATGGAGCAGGGAATTGGTTCTGCAGAGAGCGACCTGCCTGTTGCTGGCCTCCTCCCACAGTGCCCACCGCCGGAGCAGCATCTGTGAGAGCTGGCACCCCTGGACCTGGTCACAGACCACTTTTTCTTGGCAGGCCACTTGGGGCCTGGCTGTTTCCAGACAAGAAGCTGGTCATTCAGGTCTAAACACAGACTTGCATTCATGAAGAAACAGAGCACCCCTGTGCTCCTGGGGGCCACCCTCTGCCCGGCAGGCTGAGGGGAGGGCCCACAGACACCCTCAGATGCTCACCCCCACTCAAGGCTGCCTGGAGGTGTGGCTACTCCCGGGACAAGTCAGCTCTGTCCATCCATGGGTAGCATCCAGCATACCCAACTCCAACCACCCGGGGACACCCACCTCAGAATCACTCTGGCTTTGGGGACCCACCTGGCTCTTGTCAGGGCACAGGCAGTCTCGAGCAGACTCAGTGTCCTGGAAGAGCCTGGGCGTGGGGACAGGAAGACAGGACGCAGGCCTAGAAGTACTTCTCACTGCTGTGGGTCCTTGGAGAAGCCACTCTCCCCTTCTGGGCCTCAGTTACTCCTCTGCAAAGGGGCAAGAAAGTCTCAAGCCAGGAGGGAAAGCAAATGTTGTCTGAGGGAATAACAAAGCCTAGCCAGGAACTGGGTGAGGGGGCAGATGGCCACTGGCTCTCCGTGGTCAGAAAAACCCCAATCCCAGGACAGGCTGGCAGAAGCCCTCAGAGGGCTGCCGGCCCCTCTGCCTCCATCCTACAAATGCCAATTGAACGCCTGTATTCGCTCAGCTCTGTGTAAGTGCTGTGTATACGAAGAGGGATAAGGCACGCTACTATCCCCAAAATGCCCAGTGGGAGAGGTAGACATGAAACAAATATTTATAGAGACCGATACATAAGTATAACTGTGTAATGTACGTTACGAAGGCAAAGCACAGCGTCCTAGGAGGACCTCTGTCAAGGAGTCCTGAGTCGCCCATGGAGAGTGGGGAAGACCCCCCCGAAGCAGCAGCAGCAGCATTTGCTCTAATAGCCAATGGATGCTAATCAGACTGAGGGGCTGGCAGGGTCGGGGTGGGGAGGATTGGAGGGTGCTGGGAAGGGGTCCTTGTAGAGGGTTTATTAGAGGGTTTATGATGTGCAAAAGCCCTGAGGCCAGATGTGTGTGGCACGTATGAGAAATATAAACAGAGCCTTTGTGTCTGGAGGGTAGAGGTGAGTAGTGAAGTGATGAGCAATGAGGCTGGAGAGGTTGGCAGGGCTAGATCATGCAGGCTCTTGTGGGCCCCAGTAAGGGTTTTTGTCATTCTCTTAAAAACTATGGGGGGTAGGGCTTCCCTGGTGGCACGGTGGTTGAGAGTCCACCTGCCGATGCAGGGGACATGGGTTCGTGTCCTGGTCCGGGAGGATCCCACATGCCGCGGAGCGGCTGGTCCCGTAAGCCATGGCCACTGAGCCTGCGCGTCCGGAGCCTGTGCTCCGCAACGGGAGAGGCCACAGCGGAGAGAGGCCCGCGTACCACAAAAAACAAACAAACAAACAAAAAAAACAACTACGGGGGGGAGCCTTTTGCGCTGCAGAAATGGAGTCGGAGACACTAGATATAGCTGCTTACCCCCGCAACTGGTTTCTTCTGGGGGCTTTGGGCCCCCCGATTTTGATATCTGATTTTCAGTATATACAGGAATTGGCTTTTTCTGGAAAATGTATGTGAAAGTGTGATTTTAATATCCATCACTTTTATACTTATATGAAAGTCCATGAATAAAGTTGTTTATAGTAAAAAACAAAAAAAAGAAAAAGAAAAGCTATGAGGAACCAATGAAGGGATTTAAAAGGGGAAATACACTGTCAACTTTGTACGTTAAAGAGTATGGAGCAGCATCCGTTTGAGCTGGCACCCCTGGGCGTGGTCACAGATCACTCTAATACATAGATTTATTTCAAAGTAATCCAAAGGGTGTGGGGCAGGGGGAGCACAGGGTGAGTACCGATGTAATAGGGACAACCTGATGTTGGTGGTTATTGTAGTTAGTGGTGATGCATACATGGGGGTCCCTCCTACAACTCTCCTCCTCTTTGGTATATATTTAGAATTTTCCATGGAGACAGACCAGTTAGGAGACTGTATTCCAGCAAAGAGATGAGGTCTCAGACTTGGTGGCAGTGGTGGTGGTGGAGGTTGAGGGATAGATTCACACTATATATTTCCAAGTAGAACCAACCTGGACTTGGTGATCAACTGGATGTGGGGCATAAGGTAAGAAGTGTCAAACCTGACTCTAGATTTCTGGATTGCAAGCAGGATACTGCTGTGTTCTGCTGAGACAAAAGAGAGGAAAATATACTGGAAAAAGAACATATTTGAAGGAAACAATCATGAGTTCAGTCTTAAACATGTGTGAGAAACATTTAAGTGGAGATATCCAGTTACATATGAGTAAGGAGCTCAGAAGAAAGGTCCAGGCTGAAGGGATACATTTCTGAGTTATTGGCCCATGGATGGGTACAGGAGCTAGGAAGATCCCCCAGGGAAAGTGGGTACATAAGGAAGAGAAGCTATCGAGAAGGGTGCCAAGACTGATTCAACGGGGGAGAGAATAGTCTTTTCAATGAATGGTGCGGGGACAACTAGACATCCACATGCAAAAGAATGAAGCTGGATCCCTATCTCACACCATGTACAAAAAATAACTCAAAGGTGTGAGAGCTAAGACTCTTAGAAGAAATCATTTGTGTAAATCTTTGTTGGATTAGGCAATGGTCTCCTAAGCTATGACACCAAAAGCACAAGAAACAGAAGAAAAAATAGATAAATCGAACTTCATCAAAATTAGAAGATGTTGTGCTGCTAATGATATTGAGAAGGTGAAAAGGAAACTCCTAGAATGAGAGAAAATATTTGTAAATCATGCATCTGATAAGGGACTAGTATCTAGAATATATGAAAAACTCTTATGACCTTGCAGATGTCATACTAAGTGAAAAAAGTCAGTCACAAAAATATAAATGCTGTATGACTCTGCCTATGTGAAGTACCTAGAGGAGTCAGATTCATAGAAACAGAAAGTAGAATGGTGGTTGCCAGGGGCTGGAGGAGGGGGGCGGAATGGAGAGTTATTTAACGGGTGTAGAGTTTCAGTTTTGCAAGGTGAAAAAGTTCTGGAGATTGATTGCACAACAATATGAATACGTATATTTAACATTACTGAACGGTACAAATGAACTTAGAAATGGTTAAGATGGTAAATTTCATGTTATGTGTTTTTCTTAACCACAATTAAAATCTTTTTAAAGAACTCAAAACTGAAAAATAAAAAGACAAATAATCCAACTAAAAATGGGCAAATGTTTAAATAAACATTTTTCCAAAGAAGATGACCAATAAGTACACAAAAAGATGCTCAACATCATTAGTCATCAGGGAAATACAAATCAAAACCACAATGGGATACCACTTCACACCCCCGAGAGACTGTAATTCATATCAGGTGTTGGTGAGGATAAGGAGAAACTGGAGCCCTCACACATTGCTGGTGGGATTGTAAATTGGTGCAACTGCTTTGGAAAACAGTTTGGTGGTTACTCACATGGTTAAACGTTTACTATATGACCCAGCAATTCTCCTCCTAGGTACATATACCCAAGAAAACTGAAAATATATGGGCACACAAAATCTTGTACAAGAATGCTCATAGCAAAGGGAACCCTCCTACACTGTTGATGGGAATGTAAACTGGTACAGCCACTATGGAAAACAGTATGGAGGTTCCTCAAAAAACTAAAAATAGAATTCCCATATGATCCAGCAATCCCACTCCTGGGCATATATTCAGACAAAACTACAATTCAAAAGGACACATGCGCCCCTATGTTCATAGCAGCACTATTTATAATAGCCAAGACATGGAAACAAGCTAAATGTCCATCAACAGATGAATGGGTAAAGATGTGGTACATATACACAATGGAATATTACTCAGCCATAAAAAAAGAATGAAATAATACCACTTGCAGTAACATGGATGGACCTAGAGATTATCATACTAAGTGAAATCAGAAATAGAAAGACAGGTACCGTATGATATCACTCATATGTGCAGTCTAAAATATGACACAAATGAACTTCTCTGTGAGACAGACTCACAGACATAGAGAATAGACCTGTGATTGCTAAAGGGGAAGGGGGTGGAGGAGGGATGGATTGGGAGTTTGGGATTAGCAGGTGCAAACTATTATATATAGAATGGATAAACAACAAGGTCCTACTGTAGAGCACAGGGAACTATATTCAGTATCGTGTGACAAAACATAATGGAAAAGAATATTAAAAAGAATGTATATGTATGTATAACTGAACCACTTTGCTGTACAGCAGAAATTAACACAACATTGTAAATCAACTATACTTCAATTTTTTTAAGTTTTTTAAAAAAGGAATGCTCATAGCATTATGATAATTATTACCATAATAGTCAAAAAATGGAAACAACCCAAATACCCAACTGATGAATGGATAAGCAAAACGTGGTATACCCATACAGTGGAACATAATTCAGCCATACAAAGGAATGAAGTACTGATACATATTACAACATGAATGGACCTTAAAAACATTATGCTAAATGAAAAGCCAGTTACAAAAGACCACATATCGTATGATTCCACGTACAGGAAATGTCCAGAATTGGCAAATCCACAGAGACAGAAAGTAGATTAGTAGTTGCCAGGGGCTGGAGGGAAGGGGAAATGGGAAGTGACTAATGCACATAGAGTTTCTTTTGGAGGTGATGAAACTGTTCCAGAATTAGACAGTGATGATGGTTGCACAACTTTGTGAATACAGTAAAAGCCACTGAACGGCACACTTTAAAAGGATGAATTTTATGGTGTGTGAATTATATCTCCACTAGGAGGATGGGGAAGAGCGAGGGGAAGGAGAGTAGCCTGGGACCTCAAGAATTACAGCACTTAAAGACTGTGTGGGGCTTCCCTGGTGGCACAGTGGTTGAGAGTCCGCCTGCCGATGCAGGGGACGCGGGTTCGTGCCCCGGTCCGGGAGGATCCCACATGCCGCGGAGCGGCTGGGCCCGTGAGCCATGGCCACTGGGCCTGCGCGTCCGGAGCCTGTGCTCCGCAACGGGAGAGGCCACAGCAGTGAGAGGCCACAGCAGTGAGAGGCCCGCGTACCGCAAAAAAACAAACAAACAAACAACCAACCAGGTGTATAGGTTGTCATGAAGTACGAAAGAGTACTTCAAAAAGGAGGAATGGGAAAGCAGTGAAGTTTGCTGAGAGGCCAAACAGCGGGAGGACTGGAAGGCAGTCTAAGTAACTTTAGCAACAAGGAGGGGATCTGCAGCTTTAGCCAGGACCGTTTTGGTGCCCTAGTGGGGGTCTGAATCCAGACTCGGGTGCTAAAGGCGTGCCCCTCCTTTCTCTCTCCCACGCTGCTGACTGCATCCCAGGGACGGACTGTGAGGGGAGGCCTCTGAGCTCAAGTGAGGATGCTGCCGGGCACAGCCGGCAGCCCAGGCCACCGGCCAGCTCAGCGCCCCACCAACCTCGGATCCTGCCTTCCTCCCAGTGAAAGACCACGGAGATTCTGGGGGATGGGACTGTACCTCCCTCTCCTGATTCCCTGGGCGGGGTGTCCACAGTCGGGGAGGGAGTGGGTGCTGCCCTTACCCGCAGCTTCCCCGCCTGGTCCAGCCTTCCCCAGCCATCCTCACCTGACGCTCCTCACCCCTGGCGCATCTCTGCCGCAGCCCGCGAACCACAAGTCCATTTTCTGCGCCAGCCCTTGGAAGGGCTGGAGAGCCCAGCGCCACCCGGCGCCGAGAGGGCAGTCACACCCAGAATTCCAGCACCGCAGGGCCCCGCGCCAGCCCGCCCGGCCCTGCCCTGCCCACCCCTTGGCGGGGGCCGATGCGTCTGTAAGCGGAAGAGCAAAAGCTTGCGTAGACTGGAGGGCTATTGGAAAAACAGCAACCATGCCGGCACCTCTGCTCCCTGGAAAGGGAGCCCGCACCCCTTCCGGCACCCAAACCTGGTATTGGCCCGGATTT